TATTGGGATGGTCAAAGATGCATTCCAAAAGCTAAGCAGAGTATTAAGAGACAGGAAAATTTTGTTGAAAACAAAGAAAAGAATATTAAACTGTTATGTGATATCATTCCTCCTGTATAGCAGTGAATGCTGGACAATCTCCTCAAAGATGAAGAAGAGACTCAAAGCAACAGAAATGTTCTACAGAAGGATGCCAAGGATACCATGGGCCAAACATGTGAGTAACAACAAGGTTTTGGAGAGAATGGAAACAAAGAGGAAACTTATACTTAACATCAAAAGAGGCAGTTGAAATTTCTGGAACACATAATGAGGAAAGAAGGCTTTGAAAATCTGATACTCACAGGACAGATGGAGGGTGGGGAGGGGAAAGCAACACGTAACATACTTAATGGGCTTCAGCAAATGGATGGCAGAACAGGGTCTGGGAGAAATAACAAAAAGACAAAACTTATTAAGAGCTACAAGAGACAGGAGAATGTGGAGGGCCATGATCACCTACATCATGAAGGGACACAGAACATTAAAGGAGAAAGAAGTTCAAGGGGGAGACAACTATGGTTGTCTTTCACCAAATGCTCCAAACTAATATTTTGCGTAAGTTCTCTAGCAGAAACATTTTGAATTAATATTCACTGTAGTTCATATTAAATTTAATCTGGATGTGTTTGCATTTTCTTACACTAAATCCTTAAAGTATAGTATCATGATAGGTCATCATCAGAGTAAATGAAAATTTGTTTTAAAATCTGCCCAAGGATTATATAAACAGCTAGAAATAACTAATTTTTGTTAGATCAGTGTTTTAATCTTTTAAAACACCTATTTTTAAAACAAATTTATTTGTATAACAGCTTAGTAATTTAAAGTATAGATGTTATAATGTGCATTTGGTTTCAAAGGAAAGGAACAAACAAGGATTAAATTTTCAACAGTGTGTATTTGTCAAAATATACATAATATATACATAGTTGTTGAAATTTTGCAAAAATTGTTTGTGTGGTTCGATGTAAGAGTGTCGTTGTTAAGGCTGGGTGTTGACCAATTTCTTGGCCGAGGTCACAGATGGAGTCAGAGGATAGGTCCAGAATGGATTAGCCATTGGTGGGGTTTGATACATGCCTTTCTTTAAGGTTGAAATCAACACATGAATGTGTTGATGAGCTGGTATCATGTGACGAGGCCAGTGAATATTGATCAGGTAGAATGTCTCTGTTGGGTTCTAGTTGATGAGATATCAATGAGATAGTGTCAGTTGATCAAGCGGAACATTTCTGTCATGTTCTTGTAAAATGTGATATCAATGAAATGGGGTTGGTCGATCAAGTGAAATGTTTCTGTTGGGTTCTGGGAGAATGTGGTATCAACGAGATGGGATCACGGTGGTAACCTTTTTTCAATGTTTGTTTAAATTAATCAATTAAAAGCTTAAAATGTTCACTTGTTTGTTAATAAACTACATTTTCTAATTAAATGTAAATGTTTCACAAGTATATTTTGATTAAAGTAACAGTATTTTATATTTTTTTTAACCCTTTTGTATCTGGTCTTAAGATTTTGACCAGGGGTGTATATGTTATTGATTCTACAAGTAGTCAGAAGATTTCTGGAGAGATGTTGAAACATGCCATCTTAATAGCTGTCCACAGCTCATTGATACTTGTAGATGCAAGATCTTGTGTGCAAACAGACCTCTCCACTATGTCTCATAAGCTCTCAATTGGGCTCATCTTGGGTCAGTATAGTAGCCATACCATTTATCATAAGTCTCCAGAATGCTCCTCAAATCAATTTTGAGAAATTTGGGCCTCGTGGCATGGTGCATTATCTTATTGGATTAACCCATTATTATTAATATACATGGGTTCAAATGGTCACAAAGCAGTATAGTGTATTAGTCCCTGGTCAGTGATGAATTTAAGCAGATTAGTGGACCCAACCCATGCCATGTGAACACACCCCACACCATTATGGAACCACCACCAGCTGACACAGTGCCTAATTGACAACTGGAATTCATAGCCTCATTGGGGTTTGCTCTGCATCTGAAACCTGACATCAGACCACATCACACGTTGCCAGTAGTTCAGGGTTCAATTAGTAATTTCACAAATCCAGATGAGGTACTCTATCCAGCATTATAGTGTTAACAGAGGTACTCTTGTTGGTTTTCTGCTCTCATGTCCCATGGAAGCTAAACACTGAATTGACATGTCTGGTACTTTCCTGTATTGAATGTGAAACTGATATAAACCAGTGTCACTTATTTGTTAGCATATACAGTTCTAGTTAACCATCTTTGTTGATGGTCATTAAGGACTTTTGGTCAACCACTGTGCTCACACTGGTGGGCAGTAATACCTTCTATAAATTATTCCTGGTACAAATATAACACCATAAATTGAATGATTTCAAATATCCCAACAATTTCAGAAATAGAATCTCCCATTTATGTAATACCTGCAAATATGCCCTGTTCAAACTCCAAAAATTCATGTTGCCTTGCCATGAGCAACCTAGCCAGTGCTTTTAATGCTCATGAGATGTCAAAGAACAACTGATATATGTTTAAGCATTTCTATGATGTCAAAATACAATGGTGCCACCTACAATTACTTTTACATACTGCTATCTTATGACTTCCTGGCATATCAATATATATATATAATATATATGTGTGTGTGTGTGTGAACATTGAAGTCAACACTCAGAGGCGACAGACATATTTCATGCTAGATGCAATCATCAAGCAATATCTAGCATGAAACAATCTGTTGCCTCTGAGTGTTGACTTCAATGTTCGCTTTTATATTTACATAACCTCTATCCCTGATATTGAGCACTTTATTCCATAAATATAGCACACCTTAAAACTATCCACAGATGAGCTGTAATACAGCAAAACAGTCTATCTGTGGAGCAAAACAGTCTATCTATATATATATATATATATATATATATATATATATATATATATATATATATATATATATATATATATATATATATATAATGTGTGAGTTTCTCTCTCTCTCCATATATATATATATATATAATGTGAGTTTTCTCTCTCTCTCCATATATATATATATATATATATATATAATGTGTGAGTTTCTCTCTCTCTCTCCATATATATATATATATATATATATATTTAAGCCAATGTCTGTTACTTAGTAATACACAACAAAAGATACCACACTATCATTAGATATATGTGATAAAAACCAGCTTAAATTTACAAGTGTCTCATGAAACAGCTGAAATATTATAGTCAATAAAAAAGGACAGAACCTAATTTTACCTACAATAGCAAAAATATATTCCAAGGATTAAAGTTCTCCATCATATAACAACACTATAGTAATAAAAAATTAATTATTTTGTGTTCTATTACTAAATTGCAGGTAACTTCAAGGTCTAGATTAAGCTCATGTGAAACCTGTATCATGTTATAAAGGGACCATAAATTAAAAAATACACATAAATATTACATTAAAAATTATTTACTCACATAGTGATAGAGTTTATAACACAAATAAATATTTAACTTGTATCAACACAATAAACAATCCCCACCAAAACATGAGGCAAATGATTTTAATGATGTTACTGGAGTTTTCTTTAACAGCCTTGAAATGATGCAACTCCCTTGACATGTAAACATTAACATTGCCAGATTATAAGAGGCTGATTTTACAAGACAGCTTGAAAGTACTTTTGAGGGTCCTGCATTAAGTACTTTCAAGCTAAGTACTTAATGCAGGGCCCTAAAAAATGTGGTACCTATCAGTGGTGAAGGGTAACTTGGATGGAGAGGGAAAAGAAGACCTCACTCAGCCCCCCACCCAGAAATTATTTGCCTCTCCCCACTGGAAAGCAAGCAAAAGAATTTCTGCTTTTCAATGACTTTCTCTCTGTGACCACCCCTACACTTTATTATTCTGTCTCTCTTTTTCATGCACCCAGCTTGAAAGGAATAATAATACAGGGAAGGCTAAAGCCATGGCTTTTCTAATGCAAGCAAAAGAATTTCTGCTTTTCAGTGACTGTTTCTCTTTCACCCACCCACTATTATGTTAAATACATGAACCCTTTGCCATTGGTACCCATAGAATTTGCTCCTAAGTTAATCCAGCACTGGATACCCTCTGAGATCTTTTCAGATTTTATTAATATTGATGTAATATTACAAAATAGATTTTTATTAACTAACCAAATTATACAATCATTAGAAGAATGAATATTTAATATAATACAACCCTTTTCCACAAATGAAATTTTACAAGTTTATTACTAATATTATTATTGCTATTTCTATGGCAAATGTTCAGATGAGTTATGTTCCTTAGTTCCACCAGTTCAAGCCGTTACATACATTGTGTACATGGCATGCCATGTAGACGGCATATGTAACAGAGTATCAGGTCATTCATTCTCATTCCCTTTATATTCCACTGGTAAAAAGGAAGTTCCTTTCACACAGCTTCTTCCTAAGAACAACTGCTTTTGGAATAAACACCTGAAAAGATGCTATGCTGATTATTACAATCTTAACCTTTTCAAGTCTAGAGTCAATTGTTATCTATACTACATATCCTTCTAACCTGCACTTACTACCTCCCCCTATACAACAACCTCACTTGGTAACCTTCTACCTTGAGTGTCTCTAGGACTTTATATTGGATGAACCTTTAGTAAAATAACAATAACAAATAAATTCCAATTTTTTAAGAATCTGTAATAAAAGATCTTAAAGTATTTGATATTTCGGTCATAGTATTTTAGCTAATAATAAAGTGAATAAAATTAATTTTTGATATTTGAAAGCAAAACCCTTTTTTTTTTCTTTGTTTTGTTATCTGGCATTTATATTTTATTTTCTCATTAAATGGACAACAAGACAGTATTCCTCACTTTTCATCAACTATTTGGTAATTATCATTTTTTTCTTACTTTGTACAACTCTGACTTTTGTGTTTCTTTTTGCTTCTTAGGTGGGCCAAATCAGATGATTGTCACATGGAACACATACAGCCCAGTTAAGGAATCCATTGTTGAATATGGAATAGATCAAATGAATTTTCAGGCAAGTGGTAGCAGCCGAATATTAGTCAACAGCAAGGAGAGTCCTCCATTTATCGCCATCCAATATGTTCATAAGGTTGTGCTGAGTGGCCTTAAACCTGGAACCAAATATAGTAAGTATGTTTCTTCTTTCTGAGAATAAATTCTTTTTGATCAATTCTTTAATTTGACTTTGTCATTATGCTACTGATTATTCTTCAGTTGATATTTCATCATTTAACATTTATTTAAATCTTCAATGTTTCTGGCTCAATCAGGGCTTTAATATCTCTGACTTAACCACATTTCTGCAGTAATTTGATTAACTACTCGGGGATCATTTTGTTTTTACAATTAAAAGAAATGTTATAACATTTTACTTGTTTGTAACTCTAAATTTTTTTTCATACGTGATTGCAGCTGTTTGGAAATAAGCTAGTTAAATGATCCAACACATTATCAAGTTTCAATCCTACTGTATTGTGCTGTTCTACGATATGTGATCAGTAGTCAACATTTTGCCTGTCTTAGTTTATCTCTTCTACTTAACATATGCAAATAGGTACATTCCTATAATTTACCAGTCCACTGCAAATCCAATAACTGCAAATATTAACAGGTAAATGGTTACTGGGAAATGGTTTGTGGTAATGGGAGGCAATCATAATAGGAATTTAATTTTGCAGAAAATTGGTTTCACTGAAACCGATAACGTTAAATTGAACCTTCACTTTGTTGATTGATTCACTTCACTGAAAGATCAAACTGTAGAAAATTAAAGGGAGATAACTTTTATATCTGAATGTTTTTAATGATGTATCTTTAAAAAAAATTAATTTGATTGTTGCTTGTTCATTTTACGTAATGAATGCCTCTCCCCTTCCATAATTTCATCATTGAAGTCTTCATTCACATAATGATGTTTTAATATGCTTTATTCTACGAATGTTTAAATTTCGAGTAAAATATACATAAATAGCTTAAACATTAAAAGAAGTCTTCTGTATTCATTCATATTACTCTTTTTATTTATTTTAATATTTATAGTTTAGTCATTATATTTATTTATATTTTATTTTTAAATGTTGAATCTTTTAAAAATAGCACAATTCAGATATAAAGTCATCTTCCTTTAATTATCTACGTTTTTTTTAATTTTTTCGTGAAGTTAAGAATTGATTTAACACTTTTGGTCAAGCCAGTTTTCAGAAAAAAGGAATTTGTTATTATCTGGACTCAGTGGAAATATTTTATAAACTAGAGCAGTCTGGACTCTTTAACCTTGGCAACCAGTTTTGGAGAAGGAGAACTCTGAACTCAAAACCAATTGAGTATGGCACTAGCAACTCCATCCAGTAAAAAGCTACTTGCTAAGGAAACTACAGTAGCAAAACTCTTCAATGGCATCTATGGGATTTCAGAAAGAGATATTTCCAAAATAAGATGACCAGAGGATTAAATCAGACAACATTCCATCTAGGGTTTGAAAATGAACAAAATTTCTTTTTAAACTAGTCAACTAATTTTACTATAGTGAATAAAACAAGAAAATTATTTTTTCTGTTAATTTTTGGTTAAAAATTTGAATGAACATTTGTATAATGTCTGTGTTTAGCATAAACTAAGCTGAAAATACAACAGATAATTAAAAAATGAAAAATGCAGGTAATTGTAAATGAACATTTTTGGAAAAAAAATTTCAAAACTTTTTTTTATTATGAATTGTTTGAATGCTCTAATATTCTTTATATAGAAAATGAACATTTCTTAAAATAATGATAAGTTACTTTATGAAAAGTAATTAAGATTTCCATGTAAAATTATTCTAGCTGGTTTAATCAAAATCTTCAAATAAAATACATTTGAGATTTTTTTTTTATAAAAATTGCAGTGAAATTTTAACTAATTCATTTTTAAAACTTTGATATTTAAGCTTTTTTAAATTTTTGATATGAGCTGTGCTACTTGAATTAAAAATAAATGATTAAAAATTGAATGTATCAAAATATATTCATTTTCTAAACATTTTGATGAAGTTTTTATTAAGTTTCTAACAACTATAAATAATAACAAAGTTATAAACAATTTGATTTTGAGACTTTAAAATTTTATCAGCATGATTAAAGTTGTTTTTTAGGATAGTTTTGGGACAGTGGTGAAAAAAGTTAGTCTGTGGATGTTAACAAGGTTGTGGGTTTTGTGCCTATTTTTTTTATAGGTGAAGGTGTATCTTCAATATAACAAACAAAGAAGATAGAAGAAGCATACAAAAAACTTGAGTTTCTGCTACGGACGATTATTTCTTTTTGCATTGACTGTATTTAAACAAAGTTAAATGTCTGCTGAATATGTCCATTTTCTTTTTTGGTTCATAAATAATTCATGGGAAGTAAGGTTAAGAATGGATAAAGATGGTTGTGCTCAAATCAGCTTTGTGCTGAGTTGGAATCACCAAATCTCTACTTCGTAGAGTAGGGCTGCTGAAAACACATCCAAACGATCTCATTGGAATGTGGAAAGGCAGAGATTTTTTCTTTTCCAGAAGTGGGATCATAAAATCACACCTGTGACCAGAAACCTTTCCAGTTTCTCTATAACTTGCATAATAGAAAAATGAATTTATTTATTTTATTCTTTATTATTTATTGTTTCTATTTTATTTTCCCACAAGTCTGGAACTGTGGTTCCATCTTTCTGTTTTGAAATAAGTTTGGATAATGAAATGAGGTGGAAATTTGAATGAGATAAAAATATATATAAGAGATGATTTATTACAATTATTGAAGAAGAGATCATAAAAATTACCTTCTTATAGGCTACCAAAAGTGAATTTTGAGCTCAATGTCAAGTCACTTCTTATTTTTTAGAATTTTTGAGTATTTGTAAATAAAGGGAAACTACTCTGTAATTAGCTAAACTCCAAATTAAAAATGTAAAGTTAGCTTGTATTTATACAAATCTCTAATTAGCAGGAGACAGATGTTAATTAATTTTTGGACATGGATGCTTACTAGAGTCTAGAAAAATTGTTTTTGTAATAAAGTGTAAAAATGCTCATTAAGTTGAAAATAGGAGTGGAAATTGCTTTATTTTTTTCATGATAAAATGCTCTAATAAAAATCTTGCTATGATGTACCACAGTAAAATCCTTTGCTGTGGCACATAAACAAACACACAAGCAGATATTCAATCCAAATTTAAGAAAAGAAATTGAAACTGTTTAAAAGTTGCTAAAGAGTATGGTTTACTCAAGAACCCTCCTGCTATTTTCTTCATCAATCATAACAATCAATTTATGAAAGAATTAATACCAAGTTAACACAAAGAGCCTTGGCCTGAATTTAAAAATTGTTGAATAGTCCTATTTTCTGTGCCAGTAATTGCTTATTGCATATTCAGTTTTTATCTTTCTCTTATTTTGCCAAAGATAAAACATATCACTTTGTCAAAGTGACAGGGTTTAAAAATTTAGGTTATCTTTCAATTATCAAGATAAGCTTTGTTTTTTGTAAACTCTGCCTGACTTAAAGAAAAAGTACAAAAGCTGTGTAACTGGATTTATAGTCAATAAATTAGTAAAAGTTAAATTGACTCCTCTTAGATTTATAAAACAAAAAGTATTGAGAAAGTAGTCAGTTAATAAATATCTAAAGAATTTCCAAAACCAAATTATATACATGTACTTGATCTTTATTTTCCTATATGAAAAATTCTCTACTTTTACAGTAGCTTCTTTAATGTTTTAAAGGATTTTTCAGTTATCATCAATTAGACACAATTCTTCAGGTGTGTTTAATATGTTTCAAACAGCATCATGGTGAAATGATTTTGAGATGATGAGACAATATTCAATCAACATGCTTTTTGTTGCACTGTTTTTTATGGCATATTTACCAAGAATTTTTTTTTTTTTTTAATTTAGCTTTATATGTAAAATAAATGTGTATAGATAGAAATAAATGTGTGTTCAACCTTATGAGCTAATAGTATTATTATTAACCACAGGCTATATTAGAAAATAAAAGAATAAGATACATTAAAATGTGGATTTAGTATTGGTAGTATTTTCTTTACTGGAAACTTTGGAATAAAATGAATTGACTCAAGGGTTTAAAATAAATAATATATTTTTATTTATTTTTTTAGATTTAGTCCTTTGGTATTTGGAGTTGCAAAATGTTTGTTTAGAACACAGGTATTAGTAGCAATTTGGAGAAATGTCCGTTTCATTCCCATATTTGAGAGTTTGAAAATCAGCACTTGATAGTAGTTATAATCATATTAGATATAGGTCAGTATCAATCTACTGTGTTTTTCTCAGCCCTAAGCCGAGCAGAAATATTAACATGTGACCTCTTAATTACTTCTTCACACATCATGCATGACTGGTTTCTACAAGATAGCATTCTTTTGTTCCATCCTCTCCTGCTGTCCGTTCTCTTCTAGTTCAGAGGTCTTAGTTTATATCTGTTTTGACTAGGCTCTGAGACTCTGGTGTGAACATTGATTTCTGCTAACACCAAAAGTCTCTTTGTGTCAATTTTTTTGATTGGCCCAAATTATTTTATTTTCCGGCGTTCCTTTCTTTTCCATATTTTTTAAATAATGAACGTTATGTGAGAAACCTCCCTGAATTTTGATATTTTACAGTTACAAATAAGTAGGCTCTGATGCTGCAAACTTCTGGCGTTTTTTGTTTGGTTTCAGTCTTTTCTTCTTCCTCTTTTTATTTGAGGTTGCCTTCTTGTTAGTTGAGAGGAGTATAGAAAGATATGTTTAGAGAGAAAGAAAGAGATAATGGTTTAAAAGGAAAGAGCAAATGCTTTATTTTAATTTAAATTCTTTTTATTTTTATTTATATATTTTATTTTATTTGTTTTTTGTTTTTTTTTATTAGTACTCACTACAAAGACGTCAAAAATATAGACCAGGAGTTCCCAAACATTTTAGACCATCAATCCCTTTATGGAATCTTTGATTCCTCATGGAGAAGTGTAGAAATTCCTTTGCCCCTTTCTATTATTATTGTTTCTCGATAAGATTCATATTAGCATTATGCTTTATTATTCCTTTTTCAACTTCTTTCTTCCAATACAAGATATGTTTGAATAATAATAATGTGAAAAACTTCATAAATAATATAGGTAATAATAAACACATTAAAAATAAATTAATAAACCTTTTTACTGAATTCGTTGATAGAAAGGATGTTTTTGGGAACTGATGTTTTTTATTTGTAAGTTACCACAAGTTATTTATCCACCTCCTTTGAACCTCCAAGCAGTTATCAAATCTCATTTCGCTATAAAGACATTTATTGAACAGCTGGATTGTTCCATTGACCACCAGGAGTTAATATCAACTGCTTTGAGTACCCTGATCTAGACCAAATCACATCAAGAAAACTGGATCTGATAATCATAAACAAAGAAAAGAAAATCTGCCAGATAAAGTTCATAGCTGTGCCATCAAACTTCAAGGTGAAGATGATGGTGAAAAACTGTGAAAATGCCAGGACCTCACTGGGGAATAGAGAAAAATCTGGAACATCTTTGTTACAATCGTGTCCATACTAGTTTGTGAATTTGGAACCAAGACAAAAGCACGAGAATTGAAATCAGATGAAAATTTTGTGGGAGAACTGAAGCTTGTCCAATTCTAACGTATTGTCAGATTCTGCAAAGTTACTGGGAAAGATGCTGGTAATTTGAGCAGTCCTACTCTCATTAGGTTCCAAAAATAATAACCAGACACCTGGTTTGGACATGCATATATGAAATGATGATTGGTAGCAATAATAATAATCGTAATGACAATATTAATAATAGAAACTTTGTGAAGATTTTTTACAAAGATTCTATTATTACTCTTGTTGTTAGGATTATTCACAATATATGAATAGAGGTTACATAAAATGATGAATGGGTTAAATTTTATTTTGGTTGTTGTTTCCTAGTGAAATATTTTTTCTTCTCTATTTTTAGTTTACCACTGTGGCAGCCGTTGGGGTTGGAGTTCAATATTTACATTCACAACCATGCCAGATGATATCAACTGGGTTACCAGGATTGCCCTGTTTGGTGACATGGGAAATATAAATGCTCAATCATTATCTCGCCTTCAAAAGGAGACAGTGAAAGGGATGTATGATGCAATTTTTCATGTAGGTGAGTACCTAGAAATTTTCAATTTGAATCCCTACTCTTAAGTTAACACAAAGGCATCACTACTTTATGTACAAAATGACATGCTTGTTTTCAAAATTTTATTTGCTAACCATAGTGTTTTTATTATTCTTTGCATCTCTAAATGACTGATACTGTGAATAATTCATTTTTTTTAGTTATCACTCCCCTCAAAAGATTATATTTTTTTTATTTTTAAGCATTTAGTCAAATTTTGCAAGGCTGGGGTCTTATTCTGCACCCTCTCATAGGTTGATGAAAAAGTATCTGACAAAATTTTTCTTCATATAAATTTATACCATCATCATTCAGTCATCAAAGTTTTCTTTTCTTTTTTATGTCATAATAATGTAACAAAATCACTGTCAGCTTTCTGGCCTAGAAAAAGATATTTGATTTCCTCATGTGTCATTCAAACAAGCCTGTTGCTCACTATCCTGTTTGCCACAATTTGTAATAAAGAATTCCCTTTGAATCCCAATAAACATAAACTTTTTTCCTCCCCAGTAGATTGAGATGTTAAAGTCTTTCCTGGAGCAAGCTACAATTTTCTTAGATTTATTACAAGAATCTAAAAGTTTGTCTGAATTTATATCATCATTATTCAGTCATCAAAATATTTTCCTTGGCTTTCCTTTAAATCTCATTGTGTTCTATCCTTAAACAACAATTCTGATTTTGATTTGATGAATGTTTTTAAAGTTTTTAACATCTTGAAAGTGTTGGGATCATTGACAAAACAGAAAGAATGCATGTAGAAAAAGAAGTGATTATCTGAAGGTAATAGGTTCATGTTAGGTACACTAGAGGTACTTTACCCCGCACAATTGCTACAAAATCAAAACATTAGCCTGAAAGCTCAAGTCATGTTCTTAAATAGCCACATCAGATTGAGACTTTCATATGGATGTCATGCATGGCACCAATCCTGTACAGAAATATCTAAATTGTCAGCTGTATACAACCACTTTCAGATCAATAATTAAAAATAGCTTAGAGCAAATGAAAACTGTAGGTCTCACCAAGAACCATCTTTCTTCAAACTTTGTGAACTGGCACTACAGAATCACAAACAAAAAACTGTACAAAATAACAAACAACATCAGCAACTAAAACAGATATTGTGTGTAACTTGAAGAGAAAATAATGACATAATCATGACGTTTAGTCTAAATAATTCATGGAATAATGACATTGGGTCATCTTGGAATTTCAGACAGCATTTAAAAAAATATTCTTCCTACTTAAGTCTCAGTTGACACACACATAAACATGAAGGTATAAATAATATAAACATTATATATTATTATATAGGCTATAGCCTAGTGGACTAAAGTGTTGGATCATGAATTTGGTGACATAGCAATTGTGAGTTCAATCTCTGAGCCAGAGAGTGCAAACTTAGTATCAATAGAAACAAGGTGAGTAATTCTTGTTCTAAATATCTCTATATATGGACAGTATAATGTAGATTAAATAAAGCGTTCAATTTGAAATTCCTTGAATCTTGCCTGGATTAACAGACACCTGAAGAAAACCAGAATACACAATAGCCAAAATGTTGTGATAATAACAACAAAGATGAAGATAATATCTCAAATGTAAATAATGTAAATAAGAAACATATGACTTTGGAAATCTTATAATTATGCTATAATTCTAACATTATTGTTGCCTTTTCAGGTGATTTTGCCTATGATATGCAAGATGTAAGTATAAATTTATTATTAGTGTAACAATATACAGCAAGTCTTTATTTGTTCTTAATTTTAACACATTTTGTTCTATTAACAAATGATTAAGAATATCTTTTTTTAAATTATTTACTCTAAAATGAATTGAGAGGAACAGTTTTGATTTTTACTTATCATTAAATTCCGATTCTGATCTTTCTAACTACTTACCACCACTTCATATTCTGACCTACCATATATAATACAATTAATCTTCCAAATATTTTTTCATGTCCCTATCAATTCTGACCAAAAGGAGAATTGAGCTCTCAAACACAAATGTATGAAAACGAGTTCTGTCATTCCCACTCTTAGAGAAATGTAGCTACTAATAAAAATATAAAATTTCAAATAAACTGGAAATATAACTTGAATAGGCAAATCTTATTTTCTATCAACAGCACAATTTCAATATAAAATGCTTTTATATAAACTTTTGCTTTTCATGTATAACCCTTCTGAAACTAAATTGACTAAAATATAACAAATATATTCAAAGAAACTGAATACTTCAGTTTATTTGAAAGATAATAAAGGTAAAAATTAACGGCAAGTAGATGTTTTTATTACATTTTTTAAATTACTTACAAAAGCATGACTATATCATAAACTGAGACAATGTAAATAAGTAGAGATATATAATTTTATAAAAAAAAAAAAAAATTTAAATTATTTCCCTTAGATTACTCAAAAAGGCATATCCCAGAAATCATGTTTCTTTTTATTAATAGAATGGTGGTCAAACTGGTGATGAATTCATGAGGCAAATCCAGCCTATAGCAGCTTATTTGCCATACATGACCTGCCCAGGAAATCATGAAGCATTTGGGTAAGTTATGAAGACCTTTCTTTTCATTTACTAATATATTTCTTTTTTGCTCTTTTATCACTTGAGCATTTTCAGAATAAGATGCCAAATTCTTTTTGGTTCTGAAAGAAGAAATCATTGAAATAAAAATAACTGGACATAAAAAGTGGATTTGAAATAAAATCCTTAGAAAAAATTTAGGCATCAGAATTTCAAGCATTTCCAAATGTAGCAAAAAAAAGGGCCCTTTAAGTAATTCTTCCATTTGTTTCTACGTGATGTAGGATTTTCATTCCAACTTTCTATTAAAAAAATTCAGAAATTTTATGAAATAATATATATAATATAAATGAGTCATATACTTGTATGAATTGAAATTTACTTCTTTTAGATTACTCTTTGTATTGGCACCTCTCCTTTACACTAAGGAGTAGAGCTTAAAGATATATACTGATTCAAAGGGAACTGGGAAATTTTTTGCAAACCCACCTTAAAATTCAATTTTCAGTCATATGGGTCTACAGATTTTCCTTTACCATGTGTTATATTTTGCCATTGTGAAGTGACAAATAAAGAGAAATTTATTTTGCCAGATTTGTGCTTTATAATCCTTTGATTTTGCATTGATTATACCCAACGTCACTAATTTGTCATTTGAGGTATGTTATATATTTGTATATCCAGGAAATAGGTTATTCATGTTAGTGATGAACAGCTTGACTAAGACAATCATATTATGAAATCATTTTATATAAATATTAACTAGTATATCTGTCAAAGAGAACAGTTGACCATAAATAAATAATCCTGTCATTTTTTTATGGCTAGGGTTACATTTAGTTCTTGTTCTTTTTAAATGAGTTTAGCATCTCAATATTATTAAAAAAAACTGTTGTTAGACAGTGTCAGTAGTAGTAGTAGTAATATTACCAGGAGCAGACACAAAACCTTGCTTTATCCCTTTCCATTCTTTGTTTGCTTTAGCAAGATGAAACATCTAAATAAAAATGAGATATTGATTTTTATACTATATTTTTTGTTAAGAATAAAAGCATTTTCCAAAAAATGATCTTTTATACAAGTTCTAATAATGCTCATTAATCATATAATTTCATTTACATCTGTTGATATACAGCACAATCATGTGATCCAAATCAGTTGAATATTTTGATTTCTCTTTCATCTGTTTTTTTTTTTTTAAACAGCAACTTCACAAATTATAAACTTCGATTTAATATGCCTGGAGATGTAAATAGCATGAACATGTTTTACAGGTGAGTATACTGTTAATTTAAAATCATTAAAAGACAAGTTATTTTTCTTATTTTATGTAAAATGAAACACAAGGAAAAATAACACATTTAAATTTTCACTTATTGAATTTGAGTGTTGAGAGAATGACACTGTTTTTTATTTTTATTAGAATGATAAAGTTCAGATTAATCTCAAAATTGAATACATTTTAAGCATGAAGTGAAACTAATTTTTTTAACCCAACTTATGGAAAATAACTGAAATTTCTAAATTTTGTTAGGGTTATATTTTAAGCATGAAATAAGGCTGAAACTTAAGAATTTGCTAAGTGTGACCAGGGTCAGCTAAAATTACTTGATGTTAATACAAAAATAAATTTAAAAAAGGTGTATAACATTGACTGTAATGGAAAAAGATATTTGAAATGAAACTACAAAGCACATTGAAATATTACAAAAAACTTTAAAATTCTTCTAAACACATTTAAGTGTGTCCCAAGAAAAATATTTCATATCAAATTTATATACATTATCCTTGAGATCAATATTAAACTTTTAAACTTTTTCTGATGATCATTATGTAAGCTTAAAATTGCACAAAATAAACAGTTAAAAAATATTTCAATAATCAAATTAACTACAGTAATAAATAAATTAAAAAGGATGTCATACTTAATTTTTATACAGTTCATCTTGTATCAATTTGATCCAAATCCAATTAACAATTATTTTAGAGCCAATAAAAAAAGCTTTCAAACTAAAATCTTCTATTTGGATGTCAAAGGATCCAGTTGAAAACATTTGGATAAGTCACTATAGTTTGAAAAGAAAGGCCTTAAATATTTTTGAACAATTATAATGACTCTTAAAAAAACATCTTATCTGATCTTATTAAGCCTTTTATAAGGAATGATGTCTGTCAGTTTTATCAATCTACTTCATCATTTGTATCTCCAATGCTGTTAGAAATCCACACACACACTTACTGAACACACCATCAAAAAATCAACCATTCAATTTGCAACCCACCCACACATTGTTGTGTCTATAAAAAATGAAAAAAAAATTAATTATAGTGTCAAAAAAATAATTATAACAATTATAATTATCATGAATTCACTCATTCTAAACCAATGAGAATTTATTCCATTCCTCTTCTCTACACACACAAACACATGACATTCTCATTACCAGACAAGCAGTTCACATGGACAGGATGTTAACATGTGTCAATGAAAATTCAGTCTCCTTTTCCTTTTCAGATCATAATAGTAACATTTATTTTTTAGCACTCAACAAAAATTTGAGGTAAGAAAACCACAAGAAACATCTTGTATTTTCCAACTAAATTATCTGGACACTCGTTACACACATCTAAAAAACCATATGAGAAAGATTATACACTTTACTTATAGGAGTAGGTAGGCTTTCCTACCGCCTGGTCAACACTCCTCCCCCTTCTCTTGGACATGAGTAGAGGCTTACGCCTTGTTTCGTGTTTAGGAAGGGGTTTCCAGTACTCTCTCTCTCTCTGGCCTCTGTATCTCCAGTTGCCTTGATCTATCCACTACTCTTCTCCTCATCCTTTCTTCTATCACTCCTATCTGATCTTGCTCCAAATTTTCTGTAACCCCTTGCATCCTAGTGGCTTTCCGCCTTGCTTGGGGTGAAACGCTTAAAAAAAAAAAAAAACTTATTCTTTATCTTATTCTTCTGTCAGATTCCGATCCATATTTGCTCTACATTTGACCCCAGACTCACTATTTTATTCAGTATTAATGTCTCTTATTTCTCCAACACCACACAACAGATTAATAAATAATATTCATTTTGTTGTTTCCATGTCTTGCTGTTTCTCAATTTTATGAGTATTTTTTTTGTATATATAAATGTTGGGAGATTTATGATTATTTACTTAGAGTTATAACTCCGCTACAACATGCATACATACATTCTTGTGACTGGTCATCATTTTTTTTTAATAATAAATATCCATATCATTTTAGATTGTCTTAAAAAACAAAGATTTTGTATCATTTCTTTAAGATAATTATTACAACTTGATTTGAAATGACAAATTTGTCTTATTCTTTTGTTCATGCATTATTTGAACTGAATTTTTGTATTCACTCCATTATGACAAAGCTATAGTTTTTGCTGGTGGAAAACAATTTATCTGGAGTCAGAATAATTGACAATTCTTTCATAATTTTATCATAACTACACTATGACCTAAAAATCTTCTCAGCACCAATATTTCAAGATTAGATCAAATTGTCTTATACTCTAAATAACCCAAGTTATGTTACTGTAATACAATTTTATCTAACATATAATTTACAAATATTTTGTTATTTTAGAACCAATGTATTTGTCCAGTATGTTATTGCTTATTTTATGTTTGGTATTAAAAATAGCAAAACAATCTTTAAGAAATGTTAAAACAGATAATATTTACAGTCATATGAAAAACAGACCAGCTCCATACCTGACAATGACTTTTTACAAACTCTTGCAAAATGTGTGTACTTATACTGACATTAGGCTAAATTTTTTTTCATGGAAAATACAGTTATTATATTTACTGATAATTTTTTTTTCTTTTTTGTATATCCTTATATGGTTTCAGTAATTTTCCCAAATTATTCAACCTTCATTCATTTTTTTTTTTATACAGCTTTAATATTGGACGAGCCCATGTGATTTCCTTCTCTACCGAATATTATTTCTTCATCGAGTATGGATTCTGGCAGATCAAAAATCAATATGATTGGTTGATAAAGGATCTTGAGGTAAGAGGGAGAAATTAGACCAAAAAAACTTATATTTTTTATTAGGAAATTTTTAATATTATCAATTACAATGCTTTCATACAGACAAGAATGAGTCCTTGATTATCAACCAAATAATAATTATTTAAATTTAATCTTCTTACCTTTTTTTTCTTTGTAGGAAGCTAATAAACCTGCTAATCGTGCTAGGTACCCATGGATAATCACAATGGCTCACAGGCCCATGTACTGTTCTAATAATGACAAAGATGACTGCACTAAGTCTGAATCTTTGGTAAGACACGTTTTATCTTCTTTGTAGTTTATTATTATTATAATTAATAACTAAACAAATAATTAAACTAAGTGGTTAGAATGTTTACTTTCTCACCATGAGACCCAGATTTGAATCTCACCATGGTCAATTTGTCAAAAAGGTGACTTTTTGATGTTGTCAGCCTGGGAAGAGGATGTCAGCATGTGGCACCTTTTGGAAAGTGTTTGAAAACTGTGGGAAAATTAAATGAAATAATAATAAAGAATAAAAAAAAAAGAAATAAATTTTCCCATGATGCTAGCAATAAAGGAACCAGAAAGAGTTTTGGTTATCTGTGCAATTTTATGACCCCTACTTTCAAAAAGGACAGAACATTCTTTTTCCACTTTCCAATGCACGGCATTCAAATGTTTTGCAGAACCCCTGACCAATGAAATATGTACAACCTTTACTTTGGTCGTTCCAACTGAATGCAAGGCTGACTTGAACTTGACTATTATAACCATTTTTATCATTACATACCCTAACTTACTTCTGAACCAAAATAAGAAAATTGACATATCCAAGAGATATTTATTTCTTTACAGTTTCTATAAAAAAAAAAAAAAGAATAATAACCTGTCCATAGTAGAAACCCAAGTTTTTATTGCTTCTTCTTTAATGGTTTATATGTGAGCACACACACACACACACACACAACCTTAAACACCATAGAACCAAACCATGTGTTGACCTAAATCTTGTGAGTGAAATTGAGGTGACAATTGTTAGTTGATGCTTGTCGCTAACATGAATTCACAAGTCTTCATGACTGAGGGTTTGAGTATACTGGCCTTGTTCAAAGTGTTTATCATGCCAGATGATGCACTCTCTCTTGGAAACTGTAACTAAGGTCAGCTCAGCCTAGTTGCAGTGTGGGTGTTGAACAAACACAAATGTGCCTGAGCAGACGTCTGCAACAAGAACTGGCTAGCACCCCCCCACTCCAGCAGGTGAACATAATTGGATACAAGTGGCCATTATTATAATTATTATTTCTGACTAATACTGAGTGTGTGTGTGTGTACCAACCTCCTACTCACACTTATACACATATCCAACAAATTTCATATAGGACAAGTAATATGTGACTTCTAGTTACAATCTGCTTCATTAATCAGATTATGTTCCAGAAGATTTTCTTTTATAAAAATGTCATAAAAATAATAGACTGTCCAATTTAATTTCTTTTTATTTCATTAACTTATTTGATTGACTATTGTGATAGTAATTTAATCAATAGAGACAAAAATAACTTTTTGTTTTGTTTTGTAGTACTTTTGTTTGTAAAAATATGTCCTGCCTTTATTGTATTTGGAAAGCTGTTTGATTAATAGTATACACACACACACACAATGTGCGTGCATGTATGTATATGTAATTATTAGTAATGAAATAAAATAATTCACTTATCTGAATCTTTACTCAGATCCAAATACATGTTTATATAAGTGAACTATTGTATTTTATTACAAATAATTATTATTGCACTCTCTTGATATTGAAATTTGTATTTGCAAGGACTGCTTGGCTTAAATGCATTGTTTTTAGGAGTTGCCTTAGTCAATCACATTTTTGGTGAAATAGTCTTTTTATATATATTATAAAATATCGTGCATTGAGAGCTGGTTCTAATAAAATAGTGCTCAATGTATAATAACAGAGCTATGATTTATATTAATAATAAATATACAATTTCTTCCTTACTAGTAGCACATACTTGTGAGGGAAAAAAAACTTACTACCATAGTATGCACTGCACTGGCCATGCAGATACACAATATATATTAGTTGATGACTGGCAATGTAACGTCAGTTTAAGAATAATTAAAAAAAATGGTGGATGATCATGAAACAGTGCTGGAAAAAAATGGAAGAAGCAGCAATGGGGTCTCCAAAAACATGTCTCCCTGGTTGGGATTTTGTGGGTAAGACGCACTGGCCCTGAAAGTTAATATCCTGCATTAAGACTGAGTAAATTTATCATATGAAAATTGTTTACACCTATAAGGTGAACATTACATCATGTTAGTAAGCAAGCAACACAAAGGCAGTGTTAATTTATAGAAACTGTTTATGTATTTGTATAGGTTGAGATTTATCTGAGAGAGGAAGAAATGTACACTAAACAATGCATATTCTTGTTTCTTTTGATTTTAGATCCGCATTGGTATACCATGGTTTCACAAGTTTGGTCTTGAAGATCTCTTCTACAAATATGGTGTTGACCTGTGTTTCTGGGCTCATGAACATTCCTATGAAAGACTCTTCCCAATTTATAATAGAAAGGTAAACAAGTTTCTTTCTTCAATTATGTCTCGCCCAAATCACCAGGATTCCCCAATGCAAAGGGGATGTAAGTTCAAATTACACTAAGAGCTTATCCTTTATTGTATTTGATCCATAGTATTGTATTTGTTTAGTTGCTGCCATAGACTGATGGCCAGAGTAAATTGAGATAAAAAGTTACAAAAAAAATGTTAAAGAAATTATAAATCAAACTTAATAATGTTTGTTAGTGCTTCATGTAAAAATAAATAAAACAGATATTTCTTTCTATTTTTCTTGGTTTCTTTAACCCTTTTAGTATTCAACACACTCAAACTCACCCCATAGATATTAGCTCTCAGTCTTGCTGTTTTGTGACAAAAGTTTCACTGTTTGTGTGTCTTCCTGTGTTATTTGTTATGATATCTTCATGCTAAAGGGTTCAAATCTTGCTATGATATCTTCATGCTAAAGAGTTCAAATCTTGACTGTTCAACATTATGAATGATGAAATAATTTCAACCAGTTCAGCAGCATTGTTCTTGATAGTTTTCGGGTTTAACAACAATGATTTTCTTTTTCATTTCCTTCTATTTTACTTACACTTTATATTTGGACTGTTGTCCTCATTTTTGTTGTTGTTATCATTACGTTTCATCTGCTGTGCACTCTGGCCTTCCTCAGCCCAGTATATTGATCAGGATATTTCTGTAATTCTGAACTGAACCCTTTATTTAATCTATGGGGTAGACAGTTCTCATTCCACTGTTCATGCCTAAGGATATCGTCTAGTTCTTACTTTTAGTACAGCTCATTTCCACTGAGTCCAAGTACACACTGCCCGACCCAGGGATTGAACTCACAACCACTATGTCACCAAATTCACAAACCAACACTTTAATTCACTAGACCATTATCCTGTCTGTAGTGAACCTGGAGCTTTAAACCTAACCTGCCTGCTCCTTCTGTGTTGAATGCACTGCTGGGAAAGTGACACTTGATACAGTTCTCTAGCTCTTCGCGATATTCAGATGTAACGGGAAGTGGTATTTTGTCTGGTAGTGGCGGGCAAGGTGTTCGGTATGGACATTCGCATGGGGCTAGTGTGCCATCAGTTGTTTTTCTGTCTTTTTTGTGGTGGCTACTTTAGTACTGAGTTGCATTGGAAAGTTGTTGTCAATGACTTTCAACCTCTTTAAAGTCGTCTGTGATAAGTACAAGCCCTTAACTCTTGGACAAATGTAGATTATCTCTGAGCATGTTTCATCACCAAGTGATATTTTTGGGATTAAGGCTCCTTTGATAGGTGGGTTGTTGTTGTCATTTACAGCACGTAAAAGGTGTCTAGTACACAATAACTAGTTATGATTGCATCCAAGTTTCTTCAACGGATCCTCCCCAGCTGTATTTGTTTGAGCCCCTGTATCTGCCGTAGCAGTTAACTGAATGGTTTGGGGCTTTATGTCTGTTTGAATTGGATTTCCTAACTTTAGTGTAATCGTGTTTAATGTGATTTTAACACTAATAAATGGTGGTGGTTCTGGTCTTGCTGGGGTGAATTGGTTGTTGGTACAGGTACCATTTGGGATTTCTTCTCCTTCATTTAGTCATCTAGGCTATGTATGCATGGTTGATATGAGGGAGATATTTTCATCTTGGGTGTCATTAGGGTTATCCTCCATTACAGCATTAGATGTGGCTATGCCATGGCATACATATGAGAAGTGATTTTCTGTTCTACACTTGTGGCATGATTTACCCCAAGCAGGGCCTTTTGGGTGTGTTTTGTAACCACAACCTTTGCATTTGTCATTATTTGTTTTGTTTTATTGTGTAGTGGGAATTTTTGTGATGATGCAGATTTGATTAGAGCGATTTGTGGTGCCTCTGTCGGTTGAAAATGGTTTGTTTCTTTGGTGGTGGATTCCAGGGTTAACAGGCGTCTGACCAGGTCATTGATTTCCGTCAAAATCTTACTCTGGTGGGAGGTGTCTCGTAGGCTGGCAATGATTTGGGATTTAATCATGTCCTCGGAGAATGAGGTTGTGCAGTGCTGGTTATCACAACCACATTGTCTTTTGAAGGCACAGAGCATTGCTTGTGACTTCAATCTGGATACAAATGATGTGATGGTTTCTCCATCACTCTGCTTCATTGCGAAAAATTGCTGACGGTACACTTCTGGGTGGACGGATTCCATGGCAATGGATTTAATATATTCAAGCAGTTGTTCCTCTGTGGCATTAATTGAAGAGCATTTCGTTGACGGACAAACTGCATGCGGATTGTATCTCATTTCAGGTCATTGTAGGGTCGGTGAGCTGGATCATTACTTTGTAACGGGACCATGCATTTCTAAAGATGTTCTGTTTATAAATTTGACATGTCGGATTCTTTCACTGGGCACTCAGACATTACATGCTGGTGGCATGATGGAGTGGGTGCATTTTGTTCAGCAGGCAGGAGGTGTGTCATCTGTTCCTGCATGGCGAGTTGCTGTTGCTGCATTTGCAACATGAAGATCATTGGGTCGACTTCAGTTTGTTGTCCTGTTGGGGGTTCATCTGGATTTTCAACATGGGTTGTGTTCTGCTTTGTGTTGAACATTTTAAGTGAGTGTAGAGAACTAAAGAAACATAGGTAAAATATACAGTAAATTATGATGCTGTAATGAAGGAGCTTAAATAATGGGTGATAAGGTGGTTCAGATATTAATATGTTGGGCAAGGGTATGCGTGTAGGAAATTTCTACATTACCACATGTGTTCATTGGCTGCGTCGGGTTCCTGTCTGTTTGTTAAATTTGTCTGTCGTTGAATAAAATGGGTTCAGTAGTCCCTCTGCTTTTTGAAATCCCACTCCTGACACCATGTATAGTTGTTTTCAGAAATGCATTATATCAATGGGAATAACGACAGACACAGAGACATTTAAATTAGAGGCTTATGTCACACATGTTCTTTATTCGACATATGCCATGACAATGTCCCTTTTCATCTCCTCTAAAGAGTGGAGGTTAAAGGGACATATTTAGGGTATTATGTTAACACAATGGTTAATAAATTTAGTGGCATAGCAATTATGAGTTCAATCCCTGTGCCAGATAGTACAGATGGAGACTCAGTTAAAACAGGACTAGCAATAATTGAACATCACTAAATAAGAACACGACATGAACAGTGGAACAAGAACAATCTACACTGATGAAGTGTTCATTTCAAAATATTCTGGAGCTTATCCAGATCAACAGATGCCTGAAGAAGGCCATCATCACAATGACTGAAGTGTTGGGATAACAACAACAAAAATGAGGACATTAGTCTGACTGTAAATAATAACTGTTTAATCTAATAAATTAATTTAAATATTAAATTTATATATTTAAGTAAGAGAATTGATATTTCTGCCTTCTTAAATAATGCTAAATTCAAATTATTATAACATCAATTGTAAAAAGATTATTTTTATATTGTCTTGAAAATCTTAGTGAAAACTTTTACTCTTTGGATTTTATGTTGTAACAAGCACCACCAAAAACATTTGGTCACTTGTCAATAATTTAAAATCTATCATTAACACCTATACTACAAGTCTATTTACACTTACATGAAGAACTCATTAGAATTCATGGCAAATACTTACAATTCCTATTAAAATAACATTTAACAATATTTCAGGTATTTTACATGTTTTTTTTTAATTTTAGAAAATTGTACTAAGAGTTTTTAACAACAATATCTTCATGAAATCAGAAAACATTTTTTAACTGACTGTAAATGTTCAAAATACTGAATTGACAGACTCCATTTTCATGTTTTATTTTCAGATTTGATATTTTTTTAGAGCTCATATGGTTTTATTTGTTTGTTTTCTCAATTTTTGTTGTTTTTTTTATTTTCCCTAGATGTACAATGGCAGCCAAGAAAAACCATACACAAATCCTAAAGCCCCTGTTCATATCACTACTGGATCGGCAGTAAGTTCATTATTGTTCTTGTCACAAATTTTCTGAATCTAATTACCATGTTGGTTTTGTTTTTAATTGTGTAAGCCAATGAATTTTTAAACTGATATATGAAATAACTCTTGGACCTAAATTTTCTTGCTTTCTTCCATTTCAAAATTAAGTACTTGTCATCTTACATCTCTAGAAAATTGTAATGATTTCCTAGGAGAAAGTGATTTCTGACTGGGTCTGAAATTACTAATTGTTCTTAACACTTTCACTGATGTCTATGTACTTATGTCTTTACAAAACTTACATTATCTGCTGCTGATGTATATATACGTTTTCAAGACACTGTAATGTTGTTCCCTACCATTTTACTTAGTTTATAACTAGTGCATAATGTCATTTCCAAACTAGGATTGACATGAAGAAGAAGCTTACAATACAACCTATTTTATGATGTATCTTTATTATATTGTGTATTATGAGTGTTGTTGAGTTTTGTCTATTACTGCAAAGTATTCAATTAAAACCAAAATGGTGGTGTCCATGAGAAATCGCCATCAGCATTTTTATAATCATTTATTTCCAGTAAATCGCAATTTATTATTTTTCCTAAAATGTGCCAGGTAACAATGTTATAACACTGCAGCAGTGAAAGTGTTAATGCTTGAAACCAATTAGCTTTTATTAACCTACAGAATTTACTATCTTATTGATGTGTAAACCTTTTATAGTATGAAACACCAAAGGTAGCATTTGTATCAAAGTTGTTCATTACTGTTTCACAGTATACTACAAGTCAGAGTTACTATGCCAATTTAAAGGATGCTATGCTTTTGTCCATTTATTTTTGCTGTATAACATAATGGGCTGTTAATATTTAAAACTTGTCTATTTCACTCATTTCACTGGCTAATTTAAGAAGTTTTCTTAATTCTTTCTTAGAGAACTTTTGAAAATGAATTTGTATGATAAACTGAACTTTTCTCCCACCTTTTACTTCTCTCAACTTGTCCTTATTGCTTTTATTAACCTCAACTGAATTTACTACCTTATCAATGTATAAACTTTTGATAAATAACAATATAAAAAGAAATGAATTTGTTGAAATCTTGTGAATTGGAATTGAGCATAGTTGTTTAAGAACTACTATGTTTACTTATTTCATATCAGTCTACTCTTGGTTTTAGTTTTCATCTGTTTCAAAAAGTATTATGAATTTATTAATCATGAATACTTGTGAATTTTACTTTTGAATTTCATATGGTAATCTGAAAATAATTACTATAAAATATAGGAAGTAGATTCTGAATAAATAAACTTTCTCTTCATCTTACAAATTTATAAATGATGATTGCTTATTTTTCCCCAAAGTGGCCAGCACAGCCAGACAACAATGCTATAATACTGAAGTAATACAATGAAGCTAAATATTTCACATCTCTACTGTTGCAATAAGAAAAGGGCAGTTATAACCAAATAGCAATTATCTTCAATTGCAATTTATCATAATTGTTAATGTGACAAATGCTGGTTAAGAAATAACAGATGAAAACATACCAAAGATGGACATTAGACAAAAATGAAATTATCATTATTATTCAACTCATGAGGAGTAAACATAATCATTATATTATCAATATGCCAGGTTCCAAGTCCCATAATTAATGAAGGTCATAAGAGCACTATATGCACTGCAGCCATAGCAGCAGTGGTGTGTCTAGTGTAAGAGAGCCTGATGAAAACGGACTGGTCTTAAGGCTGGTTTTGAATTCAGATTTTTCTTAGACTGGTTACTGCCTCAAGGCAAGAGAGACAAATTATTCCTAATATTTAACCCATAGCTGGGGGAGATAAGTAATGGATTCATACCTTTCCCAAAGATATTAATTTGAAAGTGAACATAATGAACGCAGCTGGAATTTGAAGTCAACTCACCAATTTCTCTTTCTGAGTTACTAACCCTTATATTAGAAGGACACCGAATATAAACATGCTTCAAAAGTTTCTAGGCAATCACATATACACTTACTCACAAATAAATTATGCCAAAGGTAAAACTCTGAGGGAATTATAAAAGTGTTCTAAGGAAATAGATAGATGAAGCTCGTTATCAAAATCTCATTTCTAATGATAATATTAACCCTTTCTTTAAGTGGAAACATTCAGCATTCATTGACCCAAGTGCTACCATCAGCTGTCATTTGTAAAATCTTTCTATTAAAACAATTTTTCAGGAGATTGATTTCTCAACTCCAGTAGCTGTTATCACTCTTTCCAGTATTGATGGGGGCTTCCTTTCCAACGTTTTGTTTGAAGTAGTGTGGAACAGCAACATCTTGGTTATGTCATTATTTTCGTGTACTATCCATTTTAGTACTTGCTGATGTTGAAAGTCTTTGAGCGATGTGGTTTCTGTTACTTGGTACAGATTTTTGTTTCTGATTCTGTAGCACCAGTCCGTGAGGCTCAAAGAAGGATGGTACTCACCTAAGACCTACAGAGTTTATCACTAAAAACTATTTTTAATCATTGATCTGAGAAAGTGGTTGTATACAGCTGACAGTTTAGATATTTCTGAATGAGTGTGATACTATGCATAGCATCCAAATGAAAGTTTCAATCTGAAGATTTCAGAACATGAATCAAGTTTTTGGGTCAATGTTTTGGTTTTGTAGTAGCTTGCAATGTTGTGCAAAACTGCCCTTAGCGCAAACTATTCTATATTCGATTTCCTTATTACCTATAAGAAATCTTTTATAACTGATCCATACACCAAGTTACTTAAAGTGTTTAGTATTTATTAATTTTATGTCCTGAATGCTTATATTTTAAGTAATGAATTACTTTCATGGTAATTGCTCCGATGAGCTGCTTTCACTGGTTCCCAGACTCCATGAATTCAAGCGCCCTACAAGGCTGGCATCCCGCTCCCACCCTTACACTGTAGAAACTTTTAAATGTGGCTGTCTCTTCTACTCCAATAGCTTCATACCTTGCACCTCTCACCTGTGGAACATCCTTCTTAATTACTGTTTCCCTGAGAGCTATAATCTCTAACTATTCAAATGTAATGTCAATTGACATCTCCAGTTACCTTGATCTATCCACTATCCCTCTCCTCAGCCTTTCTTCTATCACTCCTATCTGCTCTTGCTCCAAATCTTCTGCAACCCCCTGCATCCTAGTAATGCTAAAAAAAAAGTAGTTATGCAATTGTAAATTTGCTAAATTCATTTTCTAGCTAATGACTCAAGGTGAAATTATCAGGTTTATTGGCTAATTACCAAAATTTTCTTTGAAATCAAACAGTTGAATAGACAATCATGTTTCTGGCCTTGTTTTTCTGCAATAAATAGCTGAAATAAGAATAGTTGCTGAAATATGCCTGACAGCCTATTCTCATAAATGATTAGAAAAACTGTCCTCTGAATCAAGGAAATAGTCACCTCAAAAGACATACCCTTTCTAGAAAAAGCTGTTTTAATGAAAATACCAGTAAATCTGAACAGTCATTAGTGACTACTGTATAAATGGTTATTTACTTGTGATGAAATTATTTGACAATATTTTTGATAGTCAATATCCAGAAGTTTGTCAAATTGGATCATGAAAAATTACCTTAATTACAGAATTTCCTTTGAAATCATCTCTTTAGGAATGTATATGGCGATTTCACAAAGAATAGCAGCAGAGGTTTACAAAATATTCACTTTTCATGTGCTGTTCAACTTCTGAAAGTTTGTAACAGTGCATATATAAAATGACTGCAGTTGACTCATTCTCTCTTCTTTTTTTTCACAGGGTTGTCAGGAGAGGCATGATGCTTTCCACAATAAAACTGCTGCCTGGTCAGCATTCCGAAGTCTGGACTATGGTTATACCAAAATGACCATTTATAATGAGTCACATATTTACATTCGACAACTGTCTGATGACCAGGTGAGAGGTTTATTCATTTCTTTTGGAGAGTGATCACGCCATTTGTCATTTTATCTTTTTTTATTATTATCAAGCTAAAGGTTTTATTATGAAGAAAACATTAATTTCAAATTTTTCCTTGAAACGTTCATGTTAACTCGTTCTAAAAGTACATGCAGTTGGATCAGATATTTACAAAAAAGTAATTGTTATTAAGTATAACACAAGTATGAAGAACACAGTAAACACTGAACTCACTGCAATAATATGTCAGATAAAATTGCTAATCAATGCTCCATGGTGAGATGTCTTAAAATAAGCAATTTATTTACAAGTGGAACTCTTTTCCAGCCTCCATACCTCCAGCTGTTTTATCTTGAATCAACTGTTCATCGTCTTGTTGGGATTGCTATGAGTTTGAATTTGTTATCAGAAGGTTTTTATATTAAGATGGTTAGTTTACGGGCATGTTCACCATATTAATCCACAACAATATAGAAGATAGACATTCAAAAACGAATCAATCACAAGGCAATTGAGTAAGGAACACCAATTATGAGATTTCAATAAAACAACATGCATTTATGTACAATTAATATACAATTTGAAAACTTGTAGTTTGATAATGCAAGAAATTAGCCATTGGTAAATTGGGTTTCTTATTGATTTACAGCTTGAAATTGTTCAAGTGTTTAAGAACTGGTCAGAGTTAAGTGGAAAATATTATTTATACAGAAATTTGTGTAGTTTGTATGCATGAATAAAGTAGGAGTTTAATTCTCTAAATTCTCCAGAGTTGTTTACCTTGGATTGTTTAGATATTTGATTAAATATTTACGAATACTTGTTAGTAGTAAGTTATTATCACTTTTTAGTATTGTAAGAAATTGTTCTTGGTAGAGCGAAATGCTGCGTGTGTTGAGTCAGAGAAATTTGTGCAGCAAAAATGTAGCTGGTTATGATTTTTACTGGTGTGGATTCATTTGGCACTTCTCCAGGATGAAATTCTGACTGCCTTAATCGATCTGAACGCTTTCTTTCTTTCTTTTTATTTTGTTCTGGAAGTAGGAATCGGCTCCAAACAGCTATGCGCGAAAAGATATTTTGCGTGAATTTGCTACAGTTTGAGCCAATGAAAAGTCTAGTTGGTTAATAGGTAATTTTGTGGTAGTGTATTATTCCAGAGAGGTGAAAAGGTATGTATGGACTATTCCATCAATACCACCCCCCACCAGATTAATAGTCATAGCATTATAGTTATTAATATATGAAATATGCCTTGAACTTAGCAGGCCAATGAATGTGCCTACCCGACCTGGTACAGGTAGATGGAGTTGCTTCCAAGTCAGATGCTGGAAATGATTGTGTGCTGGAAGGTTCTGAATGTGACAAATTAGGAGTGTTCAAAGGCTTGCCATCATGTTGGATATATGCAGGTTTCAGCCAGTCAGTAGTGACCATATTATGTTTCCCCGCAAGGTCGATGACAAAGTATTTTTATGTGTGAGAAATGACAGGGTATGGTCCAGTATAACTGGGTGTGAGAGGCTTACGAACCGTATCTTTGACGTCAGTCATTTTTTGCTTGAGGTCACTGATGAAATTACTGGAAGGGAGAACGTCGGTGGTATTGCTGAAAATCTGTCTGGGCAAAGTTAAAAGTGTGCCGAAAACTAGTTCTGCACTGGTGCATTTTAGATCCTGTTTGATAGTGTTACGCAAGGTGAGCATAACGAAAGGTAGTTTGTCAGCCCATGTGCAGCCGTTTGTAGATGCCGTGAGCGCACATTTGAGCTGTCTGTGGAATCTTTCCACTAGTCCGTTGGCACAAGGGTGATAAGCTGTGGTGGATATATGCTTAATTCTCAATAAATTTGTGAATTCGCTGAACAATGTGGACTGGAATTGTGGACCCCTATCAGTGGTAATTACTGAAGGGCATCTGAATATGGTAATCCAATTATTAAAGATTGTGCTAGCTACTGCTTCGGCTGTAATCAATGCAAGAGGTATTGCGACTGGTCAGCGCGTGAAGCGATCTATGATGGTGAGTATGTATTTGTATCTGTCTACATGCTCCAGTGGACTGACCAAATCTGCATGCAGATGGGTGAATCGTCCATCAGGGTTGGGAAAAGTTTATGCAGACGCCTTGGTGTGTCTGCCTACCTTGGTTGCTTGGCAATGTAAGCACATGCGGGACCACTGTTTAATATCAGTTGCCATACCAGGCCAGACAAAACTGTTCAATATGGTCCGCAATGTTGCCTTAGCACCAGGGTGGGCTTGGGAGTGGAAGTGATCAAAAACTGGACATTGCATTGCTGGCAGTAAGTAAGGGCATGGATTGCTGACGTCACAATATACAGATTTATCCATAAACGGAAGTGGTCTTTTCTCGATCTGTAAGGAAGTATCAGATCGGACGGCTGAGAATGTTTCGTCATTTAGCTGTTCATCTGATAAAGAGTCAAAATTCAGTGTAGCAGGTTGAATAGTATTGATAGTTGTATGAGATAGCGCATCAGCCACAGTGTTGCTGGTGCCCTTGACGTAGCGAATATCTGAGGTAAATTGTCCGATATAGTCCATATAACAAATGTCACAAGGATTATGCTTCTCAGATTTGGCATGTAGAGCATACGTCAATGGCTTGTGGTCAGTAAATATTGTGAAGTCATGACCTTCTAGTATATGACGATAATGCCTGATGGCCAGGTACACTGCCAACAATTCACCTGAGAAGGTGCTATACTTCATCTGTGCTGAATTTAGTTTGAGAGAAAAGAATGACCGCGGTCTCTCAATCTCATCGACGACTTGGTGGAGGACTGCACCTGCTGTGTTAGACGATGCATCATTGGTGAGAGTCAGTTTCACGTCATCCGAGGATGTTATGTAAAACAATTTAACACAGTTTTGTAAAGCTTGTTTAGCGGCATTGAAAGAATCTATCTCATCAGAAGACAAAGTAATTTTTGGGTTCTTTTTCTTATGCTTTGACAAGAGATTCGTCAGAGGTAGTAATATGGTAGCACAATTATTGATAACAGGAATTCATGTAGACAACAGTGACAACAAATACCTGTGTATACTACAATTATTTTATTTGAATTTCTAATACAAATAAGAAAAGGGCAGTTATAGCCAAATAGCAATTTTCTTCAATTGCAATTTATCATAATTGTTAATGTGACAAATGCTGGTTAAGAAATAAAAGATGAAAAAATACCAAAGATGGACATTAGGCAAAAATGAAATTATCATTATTATTCAACTCATGAGGAGTAAACATTCAACAAGGAGGCATAATTTCTACAGGAAGTAGTTAGCATAATTGTATTATTGTTTACTAGTAGTATCTGTGAAAATTTCATGGCTTGCCTGTTTAAATTTGGTTTTTGTTTTTTTCTTTTTCTCACTGAAATCAAATGATATGTTTTTTCTATCTTTCATCCCAATCAGAACAGAACAGTCCATTATTTATGAGGTATTGGCAGGGTGTTTCTTTACTCCTTTACTACATAAGAGGAGGATAAGCAGAATTATAAGATACTATCTACCAAACTCCTTTCCTTAGAGAAAGAGTTTTTGCTCAATGAGGTTTGAGTAAATCAAGATATGGCCTTTTATTTTTCAATTCAGAGACATTTAATAAGCTTAATCTGGCATAAAAACATGTCCTTCATATTTTCTGATTGGCAAGTAAAGTCTTGCCTCCATCTTGGTACACATTCCCAAATCTGGAGAAAAAACAGTAGGAAATGTTTCCTTAAGTTTCCTTACTAATTTTTGGGCTACACAGTTTAAATTTTCAACCTTGTAAGAGAAAGAATTTATCGGTAGATCCCATAATTGAAATTCTGTTATCCATTTCATACCAAGTAAGTTCGTGGTATTTTTTATGACAAATAGTTTAGTTTTTCTTATTTAACGTGATGTTTGTAACAAATTCTCCAATAAAATGTTTTTTTTTCTCTCGTCACTGGCCTCGCGATTTTATTTGTTTTCATTAAAGTTGGTTTCCCCAACTTCTTCCACATATGCAAATTTATGATAGATAGGTCGGAACCAGTGTCAAGTTGCATTTTTATTTTTTTATTACTTATTTCGACGGTAACAAATTTTCTGGTTATTCCATCGTTCACTCCGTCGGACTTTAATTTTCTTATTTTATTGTCTTTATTTTATGACCTGCAGTGCGAGCTTTTATGCCCCACTCTTTCACAGTTGAAACATTTTTTATTCCTAAAATTGCAATATCTATACCAGTGAAGTTCACCGCAAGCAAAACATGGCTTCGGGAGTTTTTGTTTATTTTTTTCTGGTATTTCACTTTTTGTTTGATAATCCGCAATTTTAGAATTCTTTTTGGTAGACTGACTTTCTTTTTTGTAGCGTATTTTCCTTACATGTGAAACGCCAGACTGTTCTATCTTTTTCAAATCTTTCTTTACGCTAACATATCTTGTGCAGTCTTCTACCAAACTCTGTATCGTAAGACTTCGTTGGTTTTCCAATTTTGATAATACCAATTTTCTCAATTCTGTGTCACATTCTGATACTAGCCCTTAAAAAAACACTAAGCATTTAAAGTTGTCAGCGCTTAACTCTGCTAGCTTGAATTCTTCACAATGCTTGTTCACATTGGCTGCATACGTTATATAGTCTTGTTCTTCATCTTTCATCAGATTCAAACATTTCCACCTCTTGTGAAACAAAGATGTCTTTTTACTAAATAATTCACTTAATATATTTACCGCCTCGGTAAAGTCAACTCGCTAGTTCTTTTCGGTAAAATGTAGTTTACCAATTTGTTATGCTCAGCAGTTCCTACATATGTGAAATATGTCAAATTTTTGTAATGAATTTCAAACTTGTTTACCTGAACTTAAATGAGCACAATTTTTTTTTGTGCTTTGTATGTCAGCAGCCATTTGCAATGCAAAAATATGCATACAGAAGTGCAATCCTTATAATACTGTTGTCTGATGAATATTCATGAGTTCAACATGCATTTAAGGATCTGCTTAAAGTGCCAGCCAGTAGCTGTTAAGAGATTACAATCACATTCATCAGCAATTAATGGTGGACTGTGTTTTTCATGATTTATGGCATTGGTGTTACTTTCTTTTCTGTAAAGATCCTATTTTGTGTTTCTAAAATCAGAATCAACCTGACTTTTCTACAAATATTTTCATGGCAACTGCTCTGACGAACAGTTTTCCCTGGTGCCTTAACTACATCAATTTAAGGATACTACTAGATTGGCATCTAGGTCCCACCCTTTTACTGTTGAAAGAGTTAAATGTAACTGCCACTTCTACTTCAACAGCTTCTTTTCTCACACTTCCCGGCAGTGGATCTCATTTCCAATTACTTGCTTCCCTGAAAACTACAATCTTCAAAAGTTTAAATGCAATGTCAATCATCATCTTCTGTTGCCTTGAACCCCATTCATCTTTTATCCTTTTCTCAATCTCCCCTATACCTTGTCTTTTTTTCTCACTTTCACTTTCTGTGACCTCCTGCATACTAGTGGCATTCTCACCTTCCTTAGGGGGAAATCATTAAAAAAAAAAAATTGCATATATTATAGTAGGTACCTCCATGAAATCACTAAAAAAAGAGCATAACATGATGAAAAAGACGCCAAATTTGACGAAAACAAAATGTTATTGTCTAAATGTTTATATTATTATTAAGAGAAAAGATCAAAGTTTATTTTAATTATTTTTTTAAATTTTTCCTTCTTTTTAGAACATTCTAAATTTTGATTGAATAAGCCTTGTTTCTCTTTGTATCACCGGAACTAGTAAAATAACATTTACAATTTTTAGCACATTTTTTTTTTGTATGACACACATTGATTTGGAAAATCTTGCAAAAATAAAAATAATTGTCGGATGTTAATGAAACTTTCAAAAACTATTCACAGATGATCGAAATTATTATGAATTTTTTTTTTATATTTATTAACCCTCCCCCCAACTAATTTTATGAAAATGCTAGAAATTTGATCACGTCAGGTTTAGTGATTACAATAGTTAAAAGCACAAGGCTTTGAGGAATGCAAATCATGTTTTTTTTTTGTTTTTTTTTTTAATTGGACCCCCTACCTGAAAATCAGCTCTGAATTGTAACATACAAAACTCAATAAAACAGAGATATTATTTAATTTCAAATGCTTTTATTTGCTTTTAGTTGTTTTTATGAATATGGACTATATTTTCTGAAAGCAAAAAATTTTTTTGATGAAAAATGAATTTTTAATACAATTATTTGTTATTTTTAATTATAATAGATTTTTACATTTAAGTTGTTAAAATATTATAAAATTAGTTAAAAAAACTCACATCAGGTTTCCTAAGTGTCCTTATGAGATAGATCTTTTTTTTTTTTGGTTATTGTAAATTGTATCATTTTGACTAATCAGAAGACCATGATAATTAAGAAATGTAATTTTGTGTTTATAATCGGGCTGTAATTATAAAGTACGGAAGACCAACCAGAATACAATTAAGTTGTGTTATATGAGTTAAGCATTGTTCTCCGCTGTTAAGGCCTTTACTTTTGCGAAACAAAGTTAATTTGATTTTTCAATTTCAACTGACAAGTATCAATATCATCTTATGAAATTTATATGATCTTATTTTTATATTAATATTAGTTATGATATTTTCCCATAAATGAAATATCAGAATTAATAATAAAATGAATGTAAATACAAATAACACAGTAAAATGTAATAAATGTACATAAAATCATAGTATTTTATGTACATTTCTGATAAAATTTCATAAGAAAGGTACCTATAAATTAATTAGATACCTTTCTTATGAAATATGAAATTTAATCTCACTCTTAACAGTCTTATTTTAATTTCTTTATAATATATTTTCCATAAAGCATCGTAAACGTAAAGGTGAAAGCTTAAGTACAAAAAAAAAATTAGAGTGCTGAAAGTTTTCCTTAAAAATAACGAGGTAAATAATTTGTTCACTTAAATGTAAATAATTTCACTTTTCTCTTTCCGTAGAACAAATTATCCTCACAGAATGCGTCAATATGTCATTCATCACCTGTCAAGTGTCGCGAAAGTTTATGACCTGCTTTGTTTTATTTTCAAATTACATCTATTAGGCACAGAAACTAAGCTAAGTTAAGCTTGGTTCAAAATATTTTAAATAAACATTATAATTTCTGATTTTCTTAAAATAAGTTTTGAAAAAATGATAATTGATATTTAAAAGAATTTTAAAGGGAGATTTTCAGATTTTTTATAAAATGGAAAAAAATCGTCAATTTTACTGACTCAAAAAAAAAACGATTTTTAACTAAAATTTCGGACGTGCTAGGAACAATTAAAAAATGTAAAAAATTACCCCCAAAATACCTTGATCTTTCCTCTTAATAATAACATAAACATTTACACAATAAAATTTTGTTTTCATCAAGTTTGGCATCTTTTTCTTCATGCTATGCTCTTTTTTTAGCGATCTCGTGGAGGTACCTATAGACAGAGGGTTATGGTTAAGTCTGAAATGTGTAAGTTTAATATTAAAAATACAGTATCCACAATCAATTCTATAGTAGGGTCAAATTACTAAAATGAATTATTCAACTGGTTTTTTAACAAAAATAATTTTGCATTGTTAAATAAGTTGATTTGGAAAAGAAATTGTTTTTCTGTAATAGTGTTATAAAATTTTGATTTAATCATTTAACAGAATTTAATAATTTTAATATTGTGATTACAAGTAAAACAAGAGTTGTATTTTTTCTTTTCAGGGTGGAAAAATAATTGATAAAATTTGGTTGATCAAAGAGTATCATGGTTCTTATGAAGACAACACTTTGAAGTTCCAGCGATTCAACAATGAGAAAGAGAGGCTGAAATCACCTTTCTTCAACTTTCAGAATTCACAAATGGAATTCTAACCAGCCTTAAAATTAAGGATTATTCTGAGTTTTTTTTATAATATTTTTTTAAAAATGGTTTTAGTGAACATTGTTTTTTATATTCATATTTGGTTTGTATATGGGGAAAATATTTTTTTTAAATAAATTTTAAAATATTTTTAACTTTTCAATATTACAGAAAACAAATATTAAAAAATAACAAAGTTAAAAATTTTTAAAGTTGGCAATAAACTAACTATATTGATTTTTTTTTTTTTTTTTTTTTTTTTAAATCTTTATTCAGTAAGAATTTTAAAAATGGTTGAGAATTTGTGGCACTGTTTGTTGAAAAAAAATTCATTATTTTTATGTTCAGGTTTTTATCTGTGCACTTGTAAATTTACTTTTTGTGACATTGAAAAAAATAGAAAATTTTGTTACAAAAGCTAAACATTCCTTTATATACTTATTTGGTAACATTTATTCTATTTAATAGAAAACATTAAAATAACTATTTTCATTTTAAACAAAATATAAACTAAATTCTTGATTAATTGTGATATGGAAACCAATTTAACAGGAAATATGTGTGGTGAACATTTGGTAATGAGATATTTTTGTGTTATGAGAAAGCTAATGGTTTAAAGGTAAAAAAAACATCCGGTGCTTTGTTTCTTGTTATTAATGCACATGAAAAATTATTTTAAAAAGTCTAACAGTTGATCATGCACCTGTAAGTAGTAAGGGCCCTTTGTTAACAAGTCGAGCACTTAATTCCCTCTTATCTCCAACTCATATTTTTACCATGTTGATCTTTATTTTAATTATAGGTTAAGAGCATAATTAATTTGGCTCAGAAAGTTAATCCCCTTTATCTTGGTATATTTCTCTCTTTAAGGTTTTATTATATGTAATTTGGAAGAGAAAAATCTCGGATCACTAGTAAATATATATGCAGATGATAACACAGTTTATGGGAGCACCACCAAAAATCCAGATGACCAGAGACTGGCAGCTGATCTCTCATATGACCTTGCTCATACAAATCAATGGGGAAGAAACATATCTATGACAAAATAAAAGCATAATAATAGTTACTTTAATTCTAAACAATGAAATAAGTTACTTTCATGTTTTTTATTGTTTCAGAATTCTTAATTCTAATACGTTTTTTGTTTTATTAAACTGTTTTATCATGGATAGTTAATTCAAAGATTTAAATGCATACATTTCATACACTCTTATTAATGGGGTGAGAAGAGATGCATCCAAAGCTCTGTTAAGTTATATATTAATTGTAATAAGACCTTAGTAAAGAAAAATATATACCAAGATAAAGAGGATTACCTTTTCAAGCTAAATTAATTAAGCTCTTAATCTCTAGTTCTTTCTTTGAATTTCTACAGCAATGAAATGCCATAAACCCAAACAGAAATTTTAAATCTTTGCTCCCAATGGAATGAGATTAGCCTCCAATTCTGACTGAGAAATGCATAATTGTATGGCCTTAAATAAAAATCACAATGACTTTTTTACACTTGTTGACTACTGAATATTTGAAAGTGTTCTATTCTCTAGCTATTTTATTTAAAATCTTTCAGACTGTCTATAAGAATTTTGATTGTTGGAACAAGAATTAGTAAATAATTTTTTTTGTTCTAACAAATATACATAAATTATATAATTTAAGATTTTTGAGACTTCATGTATTAGAACATTTTTCTAAAGATCAAGAGAATAAAATTTTTCTTCCAACTTTTTTTTTTTATATTAAAAACATAGTCTTAATAATTTGAAAAATTACTTCACTGTTTTACCAATTTACAAAAGTTGAATTTTGAAATCTTTACCATTATATTCTTTAAAAGTGATGAAAATAAATGCATTAATAAATTTGTGTAATTTTTGTTAATTTCTTTTTGCTGTTTTACAAAATTAAAGAATTTTGTAAATTGCTGTTGTATGATTGTGTTTTGTGGAGTAATTGGCCATGGTTAAGTTTGCTTGGCAAAAAAGTTCAACAAATGGAATTGACAAAGTTTCTGATAAACAATAACAAAAGAAAAGAATAGGGCAAAATAACACTAAGCAAACAATATATATATGCAAGATAAAATTAGGCAAAGCAACAGTAATAAGGCAAAAAGTTCACAATATAAGAATGGTGTTCACACACAAAAAGGACATAGTCAAGTCATTGTTGCATTCTGACTTCAAGACAAGAAAGAACAAAAATATGACAGATGAGACCAAGAAGTGCTCCATTTTATTAGTTAGGAAGAAATCCCAGCATGCATCTGTACTATTTTTCTATAAATTTGTGGAGAAGAATGTTTTTAGTAGTCATTCCTGTAATTTTATTGTGCTATTCAAGAAAGAGAATGCTGGCTTAATGTATATGTCTTGCTTCCAAGTCAGATGTTTGAGCCAAGCCAAAATTTGTTTATTTTATATATTTGTTTGCTTTAGAATTATAGAAAAACAAAGGCACATACAGAAAAAAGTCACACTGTTTATTATTATATATAATTCTCCTTGACATGTAATAGCATTTACTAAATCCTCACTTTCCAGCCTTGATAAAGTTCAAAATCATTTACACAATCATATGGAGGAAGACCATTCTGCAGCCTTTTTTCCAGACACAACACTGCAAACTTATTGCTACACTATTTCCTTGGCAAATGTTCAGATGAGCTCCATTCCATTCTGCCATTTCAGACCATTACTTTTAGGATATGCCATTCTATTTCTAGAGTTGAATCACCTTTATTTCCTCTATATCCCAAATGTAAGTTCCACTCAGGCAGCTTTTTCCTGCATGGATGTTTTTCTGAACATTACATTCTTAACCTCAAATCAGGGATCAATCATTATCCATCCTCTTTATCCTCATGATCTTCACTTCTACTTCATTCATTCATTCATATCACACACCTTATTCATCATAATTATTTTAATCACCACCACTATGAGTGTCTTTCAAGTTTTGTATTGAGTAAACTTTAGTACAGAACAAAAAATCTGATTTCCAATAATTATAATTATACTTTTTTGCTGGTTCATTTGAGAAATTCAAGAGCTAACAGTACACAAGTGTATATGACAGAACATTTATAAATAGCATTTTAGATTTTAGACGAACTATTGAAACATGGCTTAGATTTTCTTTTTATCAAGTTCTTAGCAAACCGTGGCAATATTATAAATAACTTTATTAGAATGCAGTTTTTCTACTAAATATTCTATTAAACATGTTTTATTGAGTCTGTCTATATTTCTGAGATGAGGTACTATGTGCATTATTCGGACTATTGTCCTCATTTTTGTTGCCATATTTATCACAACGTTTCAGCCATTGTACGCTCCGGCCTTCTTCAGGTGGTTGGAATTTCGAACTGAACCCTTTATTTCGTTCACTGGGGTAGACTGTTCTAGTTCCACGATGTCAGTTATCAGTTATCTCCTGCTAATTTCCCTCTGAAAGTTCTCCACTGCCTTAACCGGGTATTGAACTCACACTCTTTGGGTCCTGTCACTGAATCTAACCAAAGCCTTTATCCACTGTGCCATCTGGGTATGAATTTCTGGGTATTATAAACCTAATGTCTTCAGCAACCATTTTTACCAGTGCTCATATTGCAACTTTGTTGTTATCATTGCTTGGAGACCTTGGAGAGAGCCAAGTTGCCCAGGTCTAACATATCAAAACTGGAGAGGCTGGCGATTGGATCCCTACAGAGGAATGAAAACATCATCATACTACCAGCTGACAAAGGTAATGTGACTGTAGTGATGGACAAATCAGATTATACAAGAAAGCTGGAAGACCTCATTAGCAATGGTAGCTACAGCAAAGTAAAAAAGGATCCTACTATGAAAACAGAATGCAAACTGTCACAGATCCTAATCAAGAACAAGGATCACTTTGCACCTAAAATGTATAGGCAGTTATCGCAGCGTTACACCAAGCTACCTCACAAATATGGTCTCCCTAAGATTCACAAAGATGGTATTCTGCTCAGGCTGATTGTTAGTTGCCAAGGCTCTGTGTGCCACCCTCTGAGTCACTTCCTTGTAGATATAATTGACCCATTGATTGGAAAGTCTCCTTTATATGTCCAAAACTCTGCCCAGTTTGTGGAAATGATCAAAGATGCTCCCATCCTATCCAACCAGATGGTGAGCTTGGACATGGTGAGTTTGTTCACCAAGGGACCCACAGAGGAGGCACTCTCAGTAGTCGGAGACAGATTGGCCTCTGACTCTTCCCTAGAAGAACGGACCAGTATTCCAATAGATAATCTGATGGAGATGTTGACTTTCTGTACACAAACAACACACTTTGGAATGGGATCACACATATATCAACAGGATGAGGGCTTAGCAATGGGCTTGCCATTATCACCAGCAATGGCGAATATATACATGGAATACTTTGAGGAAATGGCATTAGAATCTATATCTCTAAAGCCAACTATATGGTTAAGGTACGTAGATGACACCTTCATACTCTGGCCACACCAGGAAGATGTTCAGGTTCTACTGGACCATGTGAACTCAATAAGATCTTCAATACAGTTCACAATGGAGAAAGAGAGTAACAACACACTCCCATTCCTGGATGTTCTAATATCTCGAACAGAGCATGGGTTTAAGACATCCGTATACCATAAACCGACATTCACCGGACAGTACCTTAATTTCAACTTCCACCATCCATACAGTGTAAAGAAAGGGATCATCTGTTGCTTACAACACTGAGCAAAAGTCATAAGTGGCGACCCAGAGACGTTAGATAAAGAATTGGTCAGTATAAGTAGTACCCTACAACATAACAACTACCCTGGGTACATGGCAGCAGCCCCAAAAAACTGGGATAGGCGGGTACAAGAGGAGGAGGACAACAACACTCAGAAAACAGTCTGCCTGCCTTATGTGAAGGGGTTATCAGAGAAAATTTGCGGTCCATATAACATCAGGACAACCTTCAAAAGCTTGACAACACTTCACAGATATCTCTCCCGAGTAAGACCCCT